GCCTTGCCAGCCCGCTCAGAGATGTGTATAAGAGACAGTATGTGCGATTTTTATTCCACGCCATGGAACTTGTCAAAGTTTGTAAAAAATTTTGAGATTCGTCTGATCTCCCTTTCTATCCGTGTAATTCCATGAAAGATCAGTAGGATCGTTTTCTCAAGTACCGATTTGGAAAGTAGAGATTTCAAGCTGTAAAATGCTTTTTTGAACATCTCGATATGATCATTTTTGACGAAGTTGCTCTATCTTGAAGTTTGCCTATTTTTAGAGGCTAGAACAGGTGATCCTTTAATTTTTTGGACCAGTGTATATATGTGTATACACGCACGCATACACATATATAAATATACTTACTGACAGCAGAAACAATGAGAGAAATTAAACCATCATCCACGAACACACGATTCCCCGCCTTTAATACCTTTGAAATATTTTCGTAGTCAACATAAACAACCTGAGCATTTCCTTTCTCCATGTACGCCTTGTCGGTGGATAGTTTAAAAGTCTGGCCTTTATTCAATGCAATTTCAGCCGAACCGCCCTATTAAAACAATATAATTTTAAAATATTACCATCATATTAAATTGAATTCTTGCATTTTGCATATATAAATCACGTACGCCTTCTAAAAGACCAGTACGGATTTCAGGACCCTTTGTGTCAAGAGCGATAGCAACAGGAATGTTGATACCAGCACGAGCAGTCAAATTCTTTTGCGCCTGGCGGACATTAGCGATGGTCTCGGCGTGATATTCGTGGGATCCATGAGAAAAGTTCAACCGAGCAATGTTCATCCCTGTCTCAATCATCTTCTCTAAGGTCTCCACAGAACTGGATGCAGGACCGATCGTGCAAATGATTCCAGACAAACGAACGAAGGATACTCGGCTGTCGATATCCAGAGCGCACATATGGTCCAATTGACTTTGAGCGTATAATCCATGCGTGTTTGGTTTGCCAGCCATCTATAAAAGTTCAATGAGATCAGAAAAAAACTCAGACTAAAAATAAAATCGTGAGATTGTTGGTTAGATGTAAAAAAATAATGGCTAGATATAAAAAATATTATAGAAAATATATGTATAAAGTTAGACTGATTTGACTTGATTTTAAGTATTATTCACAGCGCATCATAGTTTAAAAGTAAGCGCGCCATCGAATCCAAAATTTATTAACTAAATTACATTAATAATTTAAAGTGATAAACAACATTTATCTATAGCAAAGTGTTATTTATAAATTTAACATGCATGAAAAAAGCTTTTAACTAAGATAATAAAATCAAGGAATGCATGTGATTCAAAGATCCATATTATTTTTTTTTTATAATGCTTTTAATCATCATGTTAAGGACGTATTTTAAAGAATGATTTTTCAAAACAATGAAAAAATTTTGAAAAAAATTACAGATAAAAAACACAAAATACAAAATAAGAGACATCATTTTATAAGCGCGTTATTACACGTTAAAATTTTCTATTGAAAAAATCGTTTTTTTTTAATTGCTAATGAATATCGTCAAAAATACATTCTAAATAGAAGTTTTACAGTCTCAAGTAATAAAATAATAAATAATTATAATATTATATTCAAATTTTTTAAAATATGTTATGTAGTAATCCTATCTTCACCACTTTCAAATTCCAGTAAACTTCATTCTTAAAGTAACATTTCTAGAATGCGAACTTTGCATTGCAATGTCTGCACTCGTAGAACACGTAGAAAAAAAATAAAAATACTTTATTATACAAATCGAACCCAAGTTATTAATTATTCACATACTCGGAACTTAATCGATTCGGCCGTTATTGGTATCTCATAATCTCAGGTGTTCCCAACTTGATAGTTCGCGTGAAGAGATATGGCAGGTCTTGACATACATATACATATATGTATATTTAGACTTATAATATTTGACGCCCAAGACATTATCGTGTCTCTTGATTTACAGAAAAACTAATCTCCACATTATATTATAACAAAACTTAACATAAATCATCTTGAATACTTAAAGTATTTTTACCAAAAAAGGCATTTTTCTCAATATATTATGTTGTAATATTATACGTTTGTTTATTTCTTATTAAAATAATTTTTAATCAAGGTTCTAAATTGCCATCCAATTTTTTACTTTTAAATGCAACATAGAAAATTTTGTAATTTTTTCATAATTTTGAAAAGAGTGACCGCAAAAATGACCCAAAAATGATTTTTTTTATTTTGCAATTTTGAAACTGAATTGTGTACCAAATGATATGTTGATGATGAGAGACATCAAAAAATTTTCAAATTGAGCGAGAATTGATTTAAGAAATATAGAGATACAAAATAATTAAAGTTCATTAAAGTGTCAGTTCGTACGCTTTGAAACGCGAATTTTTATGACAATCCGATAATTTAAAACTTCATACTCAAGAGTGTTATTGACCATAGACAACGAATTTAAAATCAGTTTTAAAATTTTTAATGGATTTAATATGGATTTCAAAGATTTTAATCGACCAATATAAACCACGGAAGTATTTTATAAAATTTATTTGATCAACCAATTTTAATAAACTATGACAAATCTTGCGATAAAAAAGTTTTTAAAAATTCTATCTAAAATACTGGATCAGTTATTTGTTTTTTAAGGTCTCAGATTAAACAGCGATCCAAAAAACTCTTATAAGTTATTTTTCACAGAAGTTAAAACATTTGTTAAATATACGGTTCACTCTATTAAATCGGCCATTTTGAATTTTGAAAATCTGACTTCAAATTTATTGTTTGCAGCTAGCAAAACGTCAGGGTATGCAGTTTTAAGTTATCGGACTGACATAGAAATTCATGCTTCAAAGCGAATGAGCTGATGCTTTAATGAACTTTAACTACTTTGACCCTCAATATCTCTTAATTCAATTCTCCGCTCAGCTTGCAAATTTTTTGTGATTGATGTCTCATCAAGATATAATTTGATATACAATTTATTTCCAAAATTACGGGATCAAAAACGGGCGAAAAAAAACACCGCAATTTTGCACACTCTTTGTATAATACATCCTTAAATGAGTGAATATAGTTGTGACCTTCTCGTCTCGTAGATAGGTTATCATGAATAGAGTATGTGATGCTCAGCAAAAATAGCTACGGCACAGATGTACTTCTTACATTCCGAAACACCGTCGCTTATCTGGCTGCAAATATAGAGTGGCAAAAATAGACACTTTGCAGAACAATTTATTGTAAGATAATTAACAGATCACAAAAAAATTGCATTTACATTTCAAATATACGTTCACACTTCATATTTCGCGCTAGAAAGCTGTTAAATTTATAATATTATATTAATACAATATATTATATATTATATTAATATATTATATTAATATATTATATTTTTTCGATATATTCCGATATTCACTGTCAGTTCTGAAAATCTATAATGCGTAACATATCTTAAATTTCACATCTAGTAGTTTCGAAAAATTTAAATACAATTTAAATTTTCAACAGTTTAATTTACACTTAAAAGACGAATGTTTATAAAAAATCAATAAACGTTTAAGTTTATTTAAAATTTTTTGTTATTACATTTTATAAAATAATATCTTATATTGTATTAATATTTTTTTCACATTTTTTCCATTTCTTACAAACGTCAAGTAGGAAAAATTCAAAAAATTATAATAGTAAGTACGCCTATGCGAGCCAACACGGATGTTGGTGTATAATAATTTTTACAATATCCATTCATACGCAAACTGCGCGCCGCATATTCGTCGGTCTTGAAACACAATTCATTACATGAGGCCGGAATCCACTTATAACAATCAAATTGACTAGCAATTTAATCTCTTTGAGGCTAACGTGCATCTATAAGAATCCCCTTCCCCCAAATCTCTAAAGAAATTTTTTGCGAAAAATATCACCTCAATCGGGAATCGAACTCGGATCTCCCTGCTTGCTGGGCGGCACCGTTTATATATACATATTAGTTATTGCGAGGAATATCACCACATGCGTCGGTGGTCGAATAGTAGGACGCCCGTCCGGCAAGCAGGGAGAGATTCGGGTTCGATTCCTGACTGAGGTGATATTTTTCGCAATAAATTTCTTTACATATTTGGGGGAAGGGGATTCTTATAGATGCATGTTTGCCTCAAAGAGATTAAATTGTTAGTCAATTTAATTGTTACAACGTTGGATTTTGGCCTCATGTAATGATAACTGTGTATCAAGACAGACGAATATGCGGCGCGCAGTTTGCGTGTGGCTGGATATTGTAAAAATTATTACACACCAACATCCGTGTTGGCTCGCATAGGCATTACTTCACTAGATATTATAGATTTATTCTCGACGAACGCCTTTAAATGTATTCAAAAAATTTTATTTAATATTTAAAGTGCATTGTCAACTGCATCAATTATAGTCCATTAATTATAGTGACTAACATAAATACTTCTCGTCTGAAATATCAGATGTTTCAAATACATTATAATTTTGCAACAAGATTATTTTAATCTCGAAAACTTAACAATATAAAGTATAAACAATAAGATTCAGTATCATGTACCTATGTGTTGATCACAGATGGAAAAGAAAATTCAATTTATCACGAAAAAATAGCTGTAGAATACTTATACAATTTTTTTAGACAGTTTTTTATATAATCATAATTTTATTACGTACGTTTCAATTATAATATCCAATTTAAAATTGTAAAATATATGTATATATTCGACATAAAAATCACCGTTTATAAGCACATTCTGAATATGGGCCAATATATATGTACAGAAAACAAGAATAAGAATAATGAACTTATCATGTATCACGCACGCACGCACACAGGGTGAAGCACTTAAAACAGGCCACCTGAATAATTTCTGAATAGTTCGAGATATTGAATTGAAATTTATTACAGGATTACAATCATCATAAAATCGCTATTATTTAACCTTGAAAACACCCACTTCAATCCTCCAGTGGGCGGGAGGGATGGGGATTGAATATCTTAAGGATGTTTGGTACCTAAAATTTTTATATTCTATACCTATAGAATTTTTAAAATAATGAGAATTTAACAAAAATTTTACAGATTGTTCTTATATATGTTGAAAGACTTAAGACAAAAGCCGGAGTCGATTCACTGAAGCAATCCAAAGTTATAAGGATTTTAATTTGAATTTTTTGGTTAGATTTGGCCATAGAATTCGAAAATTCTCAGGAAAAAAGCAACAGAAGCATTTCTGCGCTCTAGTTCTGAATAAATGATAATATTCTGCACAATCCTTATTACTCAAACTATATGAGAAGAGCATATTCGTCAAAATCAGTTCTTTAACTAACCTACTATTGTAGGTACCAAACATCCTTAAATGGTATGTGAAATCGAATGAGGGCTTGTTTAAAAGACTTTTCAAGACGAGAAAAACGTAATGTCGTTGAGATCTCTTATGATTTTTTTTCGCAGAGTTATGCTCATTTAAACATTGATATTATTTAACGTGGTGAGGCATACAACAAGGATGTGAGGAAGATTAGGCTTCGCGCATGTTTCTCACACACACACATAAACGCTCCTCAATATGCATTTCTATTCACTCAGGAACATGCGCAAAGTCTTATCTTCCTCACATCCTCGGGATTACGGGAGGGTTGAGTCAGTAAAGTCGGTCGAGATCTGAATGAATATAATGTATTTGTGAAAAAAACGCGTCCAGCGCGTCGAATAAACAATACCTATAATCGCAATTGATATAGCGTATGGTAAGAGTTTGATGTTTTAATGGTGATATAAATAAGCTATACGAGCTTGAACAAGCAGTAGAGAGGGACGCTCTGTAAGGGTGCGTTCTATAGAAGGAACATGCGCGAAATGAACGAATTCTCGTCCAAAATTGGGTACATTGTTGCTGTGAACAGGGTATATATGCTAGGACTGGTGATTTGTTTCGAAGGCTTCGACATTCGAACTTCGAAGCTACGAAGCTTCGGCACTAAAATCTTTAAATTCTTTCGAAGTTTCGAAGTTTAAGATAACCTTCGAAGCTTCGGAGCTTCGAAGTTTAAAATTAACGATATATACGAAATTATTCATAAAAAATTTGAAAGTATTATAACCTGAAATATTACAAATTAATAATTAAACTTGATACATGTGTAAATAAGGAAAGATAATGATCAATAAAACAATCCAATTAAGAAAATTAAAATTTCTGATGTATTTTTCAAAACTTCGAAACTTCGAAGCTTCGAAGTTAATTTTAAACTTCCAAGCCTTGAAACTTCGAAGGCATCTTAAACTTCGAAGCTTCGAATATTCGAAATGAGTAAAAAGTAACAGCCCTAATATGTGCACCGTATCTTTGAGTGCAGAATTTTTAAAATACAATGTGAATATACTAACTCATACGTTTGAACACAGCACGTGTACATGCGTAAACAAAGAAAAATTCAAGCGAAAAAAGAACAAAAACATATTGAAACCATTATAATTTCGGTGAAATAAATTCTCCATGCTGCAAAGATTTGAAAGAAAACGTTGAAGAAAAATTATCATTTCTATTATCATTCAAATATCATAATTCGTTCACGTTTAAACAGCCTTTCGATTCTAGGAGTAGACTACCAGGTAGAAAACACGTCATTTTAATGACAAATATATTGCAGATATATTCATAAACTAATGATATCTTATTAAAGATATTGTTTCACGTCACTGTAACATAATATTTCTATCTTGTAATGCTTCATTTTACAACAATATCAAAAGCTACATATAATTTTTTCTCTTAATTATTGTTAGTTTTCTGTTTATTTTTAATCATTATATTAGTTGTTTTACTGGATAATTTGTATATATAATTACTACATGTATTACTATAACATCGTATATGTAGTTTACTTGATAATTCTTAAATATTATTACAATTGCAAACAAAGTTCTTCCCGTCTTATGTATGTACGTTTATGTATGACCTTCATGTACAATCTGCGATTATCCAAGTAGTAAAATATCATCATTATAATATCGATTTAAGATCATTATTTTCATTATTCAATATCAATCAAATAAATTTATTAAATAATAATATAAAGTAAGCGTATTTGTAATATAACGATATATCATAAAAGTAGATCATGCTTAATAATTATTTTCCTTAATTAAATAATAATAAAAAATAATAAAAATAATTAAATATTGTATTATTAAATTTTCTAGTCGTATTCTTCTTATTCAAACAAGTAATAAGATGCTTTCTGTTTGTGTAAAAACCTGTAAAAACTATAGTTTAAATTTATTTATGGAAAAAATACATTTTTTAACTTTACATGTTTCATGTTTTTGATACGTTTCATCTATTGAACTAATCTGTCTTATAAGGTCTATTTTATACGTTTCATCTATTGAACTGATTTGATCTTATAAGTCTCCATTAAGTGTTCATGGATTATGAAGTATCAACTTCGTACATGGCTACGTATATGGCTTGGAATGGGTAAATTTTTTCCCGAATATATTTTTGATCACAATTATGTAATATATGTCATTATGTAATTTTCGTACATATGATATCAATTTCTGTGACATTAAATCGTCATTTTTATGTCTTAAGAATGTTAGTTAGTGTTGTAATAGTAATCAATAAAGTGACACGTACTACCTGAGGCCTTATTCTCGAAAAATATCGCATACAAAAAAATATTATAGTATATATATTATTGTATATTACAGATTTTCGTATGCGATTCAAGAATATAAAGTGAAAACATTCTAAATTCACCGAAATCATAATCTTGATTAAGAATAAATGCAACTTTAACAAATCGTAGCAAAAGAGGAACAATCGATTACGATCAACGGTACCTGATCGTCGACGGTGATCCAAACCATTTTGGCAGGCTGCGTAAAGAAAAAACGGAAGACTGATATTAGTAACGATGCGTTTGTGATGACTCCGCTGCGACGACTTCCCTGAACTGTAATAGTCGCGCGCGAATGTGACGATCCGGCATCGCCGACGAGGCATGATGAAGTGCACGGCGTCGTTACCGCCGCCGTTGCCGTCGTCAATGACAGTCGGAAGGATCGCAGCGGACAGAAACGGAGCGGAAAATCGAAAATGATGCTAGTACACCGCATCGGCGGCATCGGCCGATCAACGGTGACGCCAGAACGTGCGAAAAGCTCACGATAACTCGAGATCCGAAAATAGAATCATCTACCGGAGCAAAATAGCACCTCGATCGGTGTCCGGTGTTTGGCGAAATAATTTTCGTGGACCGCGAGAAAAGAAACCGATCAGAATAACATAAAATTATTTCACTCTATATTCAGAGCGGATCTTTTAGATCTTTAGGAAAATGCATAACCTAATCAAATATGTTTTGCTATATAATACTTCGATGAAGATGTGTACACTCGCTCACTAAAAGGTTGCGACACTTTCTTTTTTATAGATTTCAAAACGCATTAATATTTTGCAAATGCGGACCACGATTGGTGTTATACTGCTTTTAAACTAAAGATAGTACATCGTGGTTTGCATTTGCAAAATATTAGTTATCTATAAAATATATATTACGTATATTAAATATAAATTAGTAAACCTATAAAAAAAAA